ACAGCAGTAAGGTGTTTCCCTCGGACAACCAGCATCTGCAGCGATGCTGCCTTCCCACAAGGAGGGGTGGGGTTAGAAAAGGTCGACCCTAAAAATGCACACCTCACCTAACCTCACGGATTTCCGTCTCCGGCGGTAAGGCCCCTTGAAGAACGGAGCTAACACGTCAAAAACCTTCCACAAAAAGGCCGTGCGCGACCGGCCTCAAGCAGTTGTCCCTTGGGCTCTGCGGTCACGCTCCCAGGTCGTCAAGACCAACACTAATCCAATTTCCTTTTCAGGTTCATCAAGAAATACCCTTCCACGGTGTGGGCAGCCGGGAAGTGACATCAGCCCTCATACCCGTAACAGCACAAGAGACCAAGGTGGTCACATTCAAATCCTTCCTACACCTCCTAATACCTCTCTTATCCTCCCGACTAACCCTCCTCACGTCTCTTTATCACCTCGCACCGCTAGGGCAAACGATTCGAGTACGTGGAACGCCATTCCTGGTCTCCTGAAACCACGCACTAAACTGCACGTAGGAGCTTTTAACGTACGAACACTGTGCCAAATAGGACAGCAGGCTTCCTTAGCTAGGACTTTAGAATCTCGCGCCATCGATGTGTGCTGCGTCTCCGAAACGCGCATACAAGATCCGAGTAGCGTCATTCATTTGACCTCACCATGCCAAAATAAAGAACCGACTCGATTTACGCTTCGTGTATCTGGAAGCCCTGATTCTGCTTCCCGTGGCCTCGCCGGCGTAGGTATAGCATTGAGTCCTAGGGCAGAACTAGCTCTCTTAGAGTGGATCCCAGTAGACAGTCGTTTGTGCGCTGTCCGACTGAACGGAACAGTAAGAATCCGGAAAGATAGGGACACTCGTCGTTGCCTCTTCGTCGTCTCTGCCTATTCTCCCACTGACTGCAGCTCAGATGATGTAAAAGATGAGTTTTACAGAAAGCTTTCGGACCTTCTCCGAAAAGCTAAGCGCTCGGATGTAGTAATAGTGGCCGGTGACTTTAATGCTCAAGTAGGTAAACTAAGCGATAGGGAAAGACACCTAGGTGGATCCTATGGTGTCGTGGCTCAAAGAACAGATAATGGCGACCGTCTGTTGCAGCTATGCTCAGATAACCGCCTGTTCCTTGCAAATACTAACTTTAAGCATAAGGAAAAACATCTTTTAACATGGCGACCCCCTAATTCGTCCCAACGTTGGACCCAAATAGATCACATCGCTATCAGCCACCGATGGAGGGGCTCGATAGAAGACTGTCGCTCATTCTGGAGCACATGCCTAGATTCAGATCATGCTCTAGTGCGAGCGCGTATTTGCTTGCGTCTTACTGGACGTAGGAAAGACACTGCAAGGAAACCTCTTAGGGGCCTACTTAATGATAGTCAAGCTAAGAGTATATTTCAGGAACAACTAGGAAAACAGTTAGGCAGCCATGTATGTGATGCCCACCCCGAGGCAGCATGGAACGATATCCGAAAAGCTGTGGAAACAGCAGTGATATCTGCTAGTAAGGTAAACCGTAAAATTAGGGAGCAACACTGGATCTCAGCAGCATCTAGCGCACTGATAGATGTTCGAAAACTCATTCCACCTGGCTCTGAACATAATGAAGAGCAGAGTCAGCTTAAGCGCAAGCTGACAAGAAGTCTACGCAATGATCGCGAACAGTGGTGGGTAGCGAAAGCAAGAGAGATGGAAAAGGCAGCGGCAATAGGTAATAGCAGACAATTGTTTAGACTCGTTAAGGAAACCGGAATTAGGAACCCGACCGTTAGCGAAACAATCTCAGAGAAAGATGGACATATTATTCATTCTCAATCCAGGAGATTGGATCGATGGGCAGAACACTTTAGGGATCAGTTCAACTGGCCTTCAGCCACACTTCGGTTTCCCACGATCTCCAGTCAACCTGAATGGCAAGTTAATGTAAGTCCTCCGTCCCTTTACGAAGTTGAAAAAGCCATAGGAAATCTGAAACGAGGGAGAGCAGCAGGCCCTGACAGGTTTACTCCTGAGATTTTTAAGGATGGTGGTCCAGTATTAGCAGTGAGATTGACTGAGGTCTTAGGTAGAATTTGGGAACTGGACGTAATCCCATCTGACTGGTCTCAATCACTGATTGTGCCAGTTTTTAAGAAAGGACAAAAGTCCTCCTGTGACAATCACAGAGGAATCAGTTTGACTAATATAGTGTCTAAAATATTAGCTTCAATAATACTTCGACGCCTAACTAAAGCTCGTGAAGAGCAGACTAGAGAAAACCAGGCTGGTTTTCGACCTGGACGTGGTTTTATAGATCAGATATTCACACTACGTCAGGTTCTAGAACAGAGACACACATTCAGACGCCCCACAATGGTAGTATTTCTCGACCTTAAGGCGGCATTCGACTCCGTTGATCGTGAGGTTCTATGGCAGTGTTTGTCACTGAAAGGAGTACCAAAGAAGTACATTAACCGTATAAAGGCTCTCTACTCGAACACAACTGGTCGAGTGAGAGCTTATGGCGAACTGTCATCAGAATTGATCACCTCAAGTGGTGTTCGTCAGGGCTGTCCACTCTCCCCATTCTTGTTCAACTTTGTCATTGACATACTTTTAGAGATAACACTCTGCTCATCTAAATTTACAGTGGTTGAACTTCTACCAGGAGGTTCACTTGTTGACTTAGAATATGCAGATGACATAGTTTTATTTGGTGAAGACGCTGACAAAATGCAGAGTCTTCTGACCACTCTAAGCAACAATGCAAGCATGTTCGGGATGCGATTCTCTCCCTCGAAATGCAAAATGTTGCTTCAGGATTGGGTTACATCGACACCCGAACTAGTGATAGGTAGTGAAGTAGTTGAGTGTGTCGACCGCTTCACTTATCTTGGAAGTCTCATCAGCCCTTGTGGTTTGGTGTGTGACGAAATCTCAGCACGGATACAGAAGGCTCGACTAGCTTTTGCCAACTTGCGTCATTTATGGCGTAGGCGAGATATCCGTCTATCAACCAAAGGACGTGTTTACTGCGCAGCAGTTCGTTCCGTCCTACTTTATGGCAGTGAAACATGGCCGGTAAGAGTAGATGATATCCGTAGGTTACTAGTATTCGATCATAGGTGTCTTCGAAACATTGCTCGTATATCATGGGACCATCGAGTAAGTAACACAGTTGTTAGGAAACGGGTACTAGGTAAGGATGGCAAATCAATTGATGACGTAGTGAAACTTCATCAGTTGAGATGGCTGGGACACGTGTTACGTATGCCCAACGACCGACTGCCTCGACGTGCTATGTTCAGTGGTATAGGAGTAGGTTGGAAGAAAGCTAGGGGCGGCCAAACCAAAACATGGCACAAGTCCATGAAGTCACTGACAAGTGAACTGAGTCATGTTGGTAGGTGTAGACTACCTGGTTGGGAACCGCGAGATGACAGCAACCGATGGTTAGAGACCCTGAATGACATGGCTCAAAATCGTTTGCAATGGCGCAGGTGCATTCACTCTTTGTGTTCTCCCGAATTCTAATCTTCTGAATTCTTCATGTCCCTTTTTCCCTCTTTCCAAATTTCTTTCACTGGATTATACTCTTTAAATAACATCTCCAAACCCTAATCTTCCCGATTACTGCTTATACTCTTGCTACCTCTACCACTACGGGATTTGAATCGACCACTGCATCTCTGTGCTAATGTGGTGTGGCAACTCGAACTGATGTACGTACGTACGAAGTTCTACGTTGTTACTGACTGACTGGACTGACTGAATCCATAACCCTTCCTTAATTATTAAAGCATATTCATTTGTTAAATCACTTTAGTATTTATCATACTCTTATCTTTTTGATCGAACCTACACTTTATCTTTAACGTTAGTATTGTTAATTAGGCAGCTTTGGGTAGCACGTCAAATGAACTGAAGAAATATTTGGCTGAATATTATTAGTTATATATTTACGTTACTTATAGTTAACAGCTTTCACGCTTATAAAGTAGCGCTCAGAGAACCGCTGTATATTACTTATTTATTCACGACAAAACTTAATAGGGAACTAAGAGACAATTATCAGTTTTTGTAATGTTCTCTCCAGTTGATAATCAACAAGTATTCGGAATACTGCATTTGTTTGAGGTATTATAGTTAACAGCTTTCACGCTTACAAAGTAGCGCTCAGAGAACCGCTGTATATTACTTATTTATTCACGACAAAACTTAATAGGGAACTAAGAGACAATTATCAGTTTTTGTAATGTTCTCTCCAGTTGATAATCAACAAGTATTCGGAATACTGCATTTGTTTGAGGTATTATAGTTAACAGCTTTCACGCTTATAAAGTAGCGCTCAGAGAACCGCTGTATATTACTTATTTATTCACGACAAAACTTAATAGGGAACTAAGAGACAATTATCAGTTTTTGTAATGTTCTCTCCAGTTGATAATCAACAAGTATTCGGAATACTGCATTTGTTTGAGGTATTTTAAGATTATCCTTCACGAATAAACTTGGATCTAAATAAGGTAGATTTATGTTGATTTACATTGTAGTGCAAGTGATAACAGGTATTCAAAATATCATACAACAATAACTAGTGTGCACATAATCGTAATATATCACTAAGTATAAAGTTTTAATCAATGATTTATAAATATCGACTCATAACATAAACAAATTAGAATTCTCAATAAAAATGACCAAAAATTAAGTGAAACTGTAGATCAGGAATATTACATTCATTCATATGGTGCATAATCATAAGTTTATTATTACTATTATCACTAAGAAATGAAGAATTAACTAAAAATAGTTAGACGTCCTACCCAAAGTTAATTCAAAGCACAAAAATCCCTAACAGATGGAAGAAAGATAAGTATAAATAGTCAGAAAATATACGTTAAAGTATATCAAAATGAAATAGATGGCGAATAACAGGAATGTCGAAATAATGTAAACTAAAAGATTCTCGTAGATTATATGCATGCAACATTGATAGATATTTGGCATTTTATACTGATATCCCACACTTTTCCAAAAGTGACACTGGTACATCTCCTTGATCTATGTACTGGCACAACTCGAGTAACTGAATTAAGTTAATTATATTGCAAAATTTGGCAAACAGCTTACTTTGTCAATATCACGTTTCATTTTTATAACAGTAAGCTCACGCAATCGTACACTTTCAGCTAGATATTGGATGCGAAGGGCTTTTCGTTTTCTGCAATCCTTGGCGCTTTCCGAGCTTCTCGAGGTTGTAGGAGCAGTTGTGTCAACAATTAGGTTATTGTCGAAAACTATGTGATTATCACTAATTGGTCGTTTCATCTACCACGTGTTCAGAAATGACGGCTCTCCCTAAAATCACAATACATAGGAAACTCTTTATTGAAGTTTGTTCCATGAAACCTTTAGTTTCCCTATAAAGGTAATGAATCTTATGAATACGAGAACCCGAATTAATAACATGATAAAGATTTCAAATATTTTGAAAGTTTGAGACAGTCACTGACTTAAACCACGTCAGAGATCGAGGTCAGTTAGATGAGACTACGTCCAACTCCTAGGACTCAGGTCAGTATCTCAGTCGGCTTAGCTAACAAAATTAGACCTCCATTTTTAATTACCTCTGGAGTCAATCTATCAAAATTCTGCGAGCCAAACCTGTTGTACTTGGTCATAGACACTTTTCGAAGGTAACGCTTTTGTCATCCGACTTCTTAGTGATTAATCTATCAGAAGATTCAATTATCGAATTAGGATGCGCTGAGATGCACCAACGGGATCCAGTCAGATAGAAATTTACCTAATCTTTAAATAAACCTTTAACAGGATCGTTTGTTTGGCAGTCATGAAGAGAATGAAAGTCTTTGGAGATAAGAATTAATTGGGCAGTACAGATTATAGGTCTGGAAACGGAACTAGAGAGTAAATGGAAAATAATTAACTAGTTACTTCTTGGAAAGTAATGATAAATACATGAACGAAAAGGTTTCCCCAACTATTTTCTCTCACTTTCATGTCAGCTTTACAGTAGCGATAATTAAAAAGTGAAAACCACGACACATTATTCTGTTGTGGTGATCACTAGAATTCTTACATAGTTTCTGAAATAAGACTAATATACATACAAAACACCAAGATGAATCTCATTCACATCAATGGCTCATAATGGCAGTGACCATATAGTTGACATCTAAACATTGTACGAAAATCACGTTATGTATAAATTTTGATCGCTAAAACTTCAAAAAATGGAAATTTGGTCAACTTAATTTGGTTGGTTTTAATTCCTGATTGCGATGAATTCACCGAAGTCCAACGGGTCTCTACAAGAGAACAACCAACGAACCATGAACGTTTCAGACACAATATCTATAAAGACAGCAGTTATCAACAAACAAATACTGGTTTTAATCATTATCGATTCAACAATAGCGAAAAAAGTAATCTGAAGATATCTATCGACAAGGTCGAATAATCATAGTAAAACAGATACTATTAAACAAGTGAAAACGAACTATCTGAATCTCGAAGCCTGTGTTTTCAGATAAATTAGGAACAAAATGATAAATTAGAAAAGCTTCTAATACAAAAACCTCAAGTAACGCATAGTGTTGATAAGCGCCTCACTGTATCTGTAGTTGGTTAACATACACCTATTTTTGTGTATAGTTGTTACTATATATTACATTTATCATTATTTCACTTGATTTATACAATCTTTGTTATTGATCACAAAATTGTTGTCAATGCTTGACCTTGACTTTTCTGTTCCTACTATCTTTTGGCTCGTGATACATTCACTGTCGCTTAAAAATACACTGCGTTCACAAAATTAGCGGTCATACCACTAACTGCTACTCTAACGGATCATTACGATGACCGTTATCTATGTGTACAGATCATAATTGCCTCATCATAACCAGACTGAATTCAATGTATTACTTTAAATATGATATAAATGAATTAGTACACATAAAATTTTTTGATATAGTAAGCAAACTGAACAAGTGGAACCAAAAATTAGGAAGTAGAGCCCAAAGTTTTGTGAATCTCAATAGTTTAGCATATTATAGTTGGACCAGTGAAATGTCACTGAGCCCTAGCCATTTTATCCGGCATTCCCGTCACTGAATGACGAGCAGTTCGCTGGTTCTCTCCATGGTCAGGGGCAACCAACGCGCACAAATTAGTCGCATGCCATGGACAGGCTCGTGCAGCATAGTTCGAGTTCCGCTTCTTGTACCTACTCTTGGTGATATTTTCCGTTCGTGTTTTATGGTCATCAAAGCAGATATAGTACCTCTATAGGACGAAAAGTTAACCCATATTAGGTAATAACCGTGAGGTGTGGCTTCTGCATTGGCTGGTTCATCACACCATTCCAGTCTAACTTGAGTATATTCCCAATCGTCCGACACAGATTATCTACGTTGGTGATCTACATCACTACGTCACTCTACACTGTTCAGTCAGTTTGCCACTCATTTTGTGGTTATTTGGTCACCCACAATTTGACACTCACTCATTGTACCGAGTTACAATCTCCACACTATCAGTTTCTGTTTTCGGTTTCCAATTTGTCTTAACGTGAGGCATGCGTTATTATTAATTTTCATCCATTGCTTTCCTTACTAAACGTAAGTTTATTTTCTGCGCTTGCGGTATCTTCAGTTCATCTATTGTATTGTTATTCTCTTTTTAATTTCATACAACTCGCATTACTTCCCATGCTTCTCTAGTGCACAAAGTACTTTTTGGCTGAACTCGAATCGAAACACATGTTATAATGAAATCTCCTCAACCTTCAAACCCTGGCTATGCAGTATTAATAACTCATTTACAGAATCTGCGTCTGAGTAGTAGGAAAGAGATTTTGACATTAAAATAATATTACAATTGTTATTCTTCAATCCAAGATTGAACATATTCAACTTTGATGAAGATGTTCAGGGAGCTATACATTAGTCTAATTCACTTTGCACTGATAGGGCCAAAGTAAATGCAGAGTCTTAGTTCATAAGGTCTCGAGCAAATCCGTTGACAATGTAAACTTTCATAGACATCACTCTCCTTCCTAAAAACATTTTTAAGCCATTATGAAAGCATCAGTATTCAAAGTGAAAGCAATTTGTAGGTGAAAAGTACCGGTTTGAAGACTCACTAATTTCCATCTTTATATTCGTTTCGCACATCCTTCCTGGCGGAGCATCACCGGCCTAAAATAGCCAATCAACACAGAGAAGAAATATGACCAACTTTTTTGTACTCGTCACTCTAGAATTGGTTCCATCAGGTGTCTAACAGCATTGGTATGATCAGCAATATTCTGATAGATCTACCGTATCGAGGGTAATACTTACGAAGTTTTGTTGTGGCCTTTCAGCTTGAGAAAGTTTTTAATTATCAGCCCTATTAAGAAGCGACGACTACGTAAAATCTCTGGATGCCTGAAGCAGAATTTTTAATCTGGGAAGATCAACCTTCCGCTTACAAAGGGCAATCCTTCAAGGGGTGTGGGAGAGAGTTTTAGCATTCCCTCACAATGTTTTTTTTTGCATTCAAACATGCATTGGGTTTCCTTAGGTCTGTTCCGTGAACTTATGGTCAGACTACTTCTTAAGACGAGAGAACACAATAGTTGCTTCAGTCAACTTTATCCAACTCAACTAGTATAACATAATGTGATCAACATCATATTTTTTCTATGTATGTTGACTATATAGGATCTTTTGGGTTAAATACCAACCAGCCGATCTTCCCAGTAAAGCCTCAGTAGTTTCAAAAGACAAACTGAGACAAGGTAGTCGGAATTTCTTCCATAATTTTGACAACTTATATCGACGCCGTGACATATCCTCGGTTATATCAATGTATGCGGGAAACTGTGGACACATATTACACTAAAAAAATGCTTATATTGTGGATGGAGTGAAGTTCAAAATCTCAAGAGGATTTTAGGAATTTGGCACTCAGGTCAATCAGCAATCAACAAGCACTTTGGTGGAGTTTTGTTCTCTGAGCTGGATGGTTTGGTCGTGGAGCTTTCATCGTTCTTCTGAACGACATCATCAGCACAAACTTCAGATAGAAGTGAAGTGTTTGAATTTCTCCATATGTGTCTCAAAGCTTGTTCAGTGCACCTCGACGTTGATTGGTTCTTATTGACCTTAAATTTGTCGTTGTTTACTTCTTTGTTTTGGTTGTGTCTCCCATTGTTTTGATTTTTGTTCTTATGTTTGTGCATGATTTTTCTGATTGGTTGATAAATTGGATTGATTTCAATATGCTTGTTGATTGCTAATTGACCTGAGTGCCAGGCTTCTAAAAATTCTCTGTATATGCTTGTTGATTGCACATTGAAATAGATCCAATCCATCAACCAACCGCACAAATCATGTACAGATATAGGATCGAAATGAAGTCGATGTGAGATACAATCAAAACAAAGAACCAGACAGTGATGGGACGAAGCTCAAAAATAACGGATTGAGATTGAGGTCGATAGAGCAAGCTGTGAGTTATATGTAGAGAAATTCATGTACTTACGTTCTACCCGAAGCTTATGCTAATTATTTTGTTTCGAAGAACAATGAAAGCTCCAACACCAAAACACTCAGCTTAAAGAAATACATCTGAGCCAGCCACTTAAGCTACAAATCCTCAACAGCTAGAAAATAAATCTCTCTGCACATGGTGAGTTGAGATGATGCTGTTCAAAGAAGTAGCATAAATACATAAGGGATGGGAATCTCATGAATCCAGGATCATCAAAGCATCCTTCAATACAACAAGGACAGCAACCGTGGATGTAACCCGTCAGGGCCCGGTATCTTACCAGGTTTGAGGTTAGTTATCAACGGAAGGACAGTTTCCTCAGTCACCTGTACAGATTCAATGGTTGGTATCTCGGTGTGAGTGGGACAAGTATTTGTTACAATAAACGTAGAGAAGACTTCGCTAAAATAATCTGAAAAAGTCTCAGCTTTTGCTCAATCTGATTCAGCTAGTAATTCTGAATTTTCGTGTAACAGCAACGGGGGAATATCATCACTACGTTTCATTTGCCGCTTAACATACGAAAACAATAGTTTCGGACAAGTACGGCTATCATATACTAACTGTGGTTCGTAAGTGGTACGGGATTTGGCAATGGTTTTCTTACAGATATTACGGTATTTTTGGTACTCACGCTTAAATGGTGCATGACCTGTCAACAAGAATAAGTCCCAGAAATGTTTCCTACGCTTTAACAGCTTTCGGGTTTCCTTATCAATCCATGGAGGGCAATGTGATAGCTTACGTGCTGACCATGGGATAAATGGCGACGTTACGGACTCGAATGTAGCCTTAAACTTATTCTATTCATCTTCGATCAATCCATCCGCGTCGACCGACCAATCAGTCGAGATAGCACAGTTTCTGATTGCCGGAATATTGGCTCACCGGATATTGGGACGGGGTGGAGCAGATACGAATCGTATACCATGTGTCCTAAACTTAAAGTGAAGTACAACGTGATCACTATTCACTAGTGGGGGAAGGTGCTGGATGTCAAAGACATCCTCAGAGTGATGGGTGAGGGCGAGGTCCAGCACTGACGGATCATGTTGCAGATCAATATGTGTCGGTTTTGTGATACATTGTACAAGTGCACACTGAATAACAGTAGATAAAAGGTCGCTATCGAAACCACTACCTGGAGCTGTAAGCTCTATCCAGTTGTTGTGCGGTGCGTTGAAGTCCCCAATGATGAGACAACATTCTGCCATACTCCAAGAACAACAACCGCGCTCTACGGATTGGACGTTACTTTCAGGCCGAGGTTTTTAGTTTTATTTTTCTAGGATTCTCGCAGAGCTGGATGGATTATTTTTTCTTGGAATTATGGAAGTTAACTCTATTCTTAACTACTAACATATAAACTGTGAATTTCATGCCATATGATAAGTTCTGAGTTTAACTTACGGTATTTACGATCATATTCATACGCTAATTCATAATCATATAATTACATATATTCATTTTGACTATACAATCACACTATACTTTGTCACTTTGAAACCATATATAATCATATTTGACGAAGATTTGCATTCCATATCTGTATTCTATTTCTTAAGGAATATATGGTTATATCGTATTTGAATGCCTTAACCCACGTACTTTATGTATCTACAGGATCTATTCAAACCTCTACCTAATATCAAGAAATATATATAACCGTGTATGTTAAAGGACTGTATACACTATTTTATGAACTATCATTTGAATCGTATTTAGATACTAAAAATTATTTCATTTCCGAAATTACCCGTCCAATTCGGTGAGTCTGTCATAGTTTTTTTTGGCAGTGTTTTTTTTCCAAAAAGCTGTTTCATATATTTGTTCAGAAGCAACATAATAATCTTAGACGGTAATAATCTTCTAAACTACTTATTTCCGCACCTCCCAATTTTTACTAATACGAACTTTCAGTTTATATATATATCACGTACCGTACTTTTTTGATTGTTTGATACTAATTATCGACATTTCTAAATTACTTCGTGTCATATATGTTAAAATTTATACAACTTGCTCCTTTATATTCTATTTTGCCTCCACACAGACAGTGACATAAATACTTCATCTCCACTACTATCTTCCTGCCATTGTCATCTTTTGTTT